CCCCCTCGCCCACCCAGCTCACCCCCTCCTGCACCCCACAGCACCCGTACCCCCCCGTACCTCACACCCTGCACCCCCTCCTTCCCCCCGGCTCCCCCAGGTACCGCAGAGCACACTCCTGCAGGACACGTTTTTACAGCAATTAATTCCATATTTAGGAAGCGATTCCTTAGAGTTCAAACGCCCGTAGGAAGCACCAGGAAAATAAAAGCAGAGGCTGCAGTGGTAGAGGTGAGGACCACCTGGGGGCAGGGAGGCACGAGCGGTTCAGAACGGGACAGATTTTGGGGAGGAAGGATATGGTTCTCCAAAACACCACCAAGAGAATCAGCAGAACACGCTGGAAGACGGGAACACCATCGGTTACACACAGAGGCCAGGGACCCGGCAAGAAACTTCTAAAAGCAGTTTGGGGGCTTCTCCCTGGATTTGCCCTCCGGCTCATCAGAGCCCTGGTTCCGAAGAGTTACACACAAAACTCACCCTGGTATTTTATTGTCTCCCTACTCCCATTTCTATGTTCTAGGCGGCCAAACACGAGCAAACGGGGCCTCCTCCAGGATGCAAATGGGTTCAAGAAGTACCTGGAGATGGATTGAAGATGCGCCACCTCTTTACAGCTTCTAACCCCCTCAAAACCTTTAGTACCACATTGCATTGGTATCTGTTTGTCCCCATCCCATTGGACATCCCCATCCACCATCCTCCACACCTTTTAAGATAAAAGCCATTTTTAGCACCTTTTTATAAAGCAAAGGGAAATTTTGCTAAAGGCTTTGATTTTAAGATACTTTGAACTCGCGTATTTAAAAAAAAAACCCTCCACAAAGAACTGAACGAGCTGTAAGGACGTTTGGCCAAAGTTCTCTGCTGACAAGATGGAAAAATCTTGGAAGTCAGAGGCAAGATTTCTGGCCCCGGAGACCATGCCTGACAGAACCCCTCAAGTACCTTCCTTCAGTTTGAGTTATGGTCCCTGCCACGTGCTAACGGATACCTGTGTGATATAAAAGAAAATATATTGTCCCTGCTGTTGTTGTGACGTGGCCATAGAGCCAGCAGCCAGGCGGGGGGACAGGAGGTGCAGTGGTTCCTCACCCCTCAGCTCCGTGTGATCCCACTGTGACACCAAGCAATTCGTGGGGATCCCGGCTCAGCATCCTTCCCACAAGAGATCAGATGCCCCACAACAACCCCAGAAGCCCCCCTGAGGAGACACAGGGACCCCCCAACTGCTAAAACAACATCTAGAAGTGCTAAATATTAAAGATGCACAACTCCTGCCCCTCAGGACGCTGTGGTATCCACCTTACGCTACGGTAAAACTAAACGAATGAACGCTGGCAAATTAAGTGATCTACCAGTTTAAGAGACAAAACATTTTTGAAAAGTCCTCAAGTGGTCTGAGCGGAGTACATTACATGGGAAGTGTCTCCTAAGAAATACTTATCATTATAACAGTACTTAGCACTTGCAGAGCGCTTCCCAGCCTCCCAGCACTGTACAAACATTAGCTTCTTAATCACTCATTAGGGACGATCCTATAGAGCTGGGCCATGCCTCATTGAGTAAAGTCATCCCCAACTCGCTCAGTCCCTCTCGTTCCCTCCAGAGACAACTTGGAAGGTTCTCTCTGATTCCTAGGAGAAGTTCAGAGCAAGCAAGGAAAAGTCTGTTCAAAATGAACAGCGGTGAATCCAACTCCCCCATTTTTCATGGCAGGGATAGACAGAGACCCACTTCCATTAAAAACTTGAATTAATAAAGTTGGGAAAATCAGGAACTCTAACAGCGCTGGGAGATTGCGCCTCAGGACGTAACCTCTTCTTGTTGCAAAAGGGCTAAGAAGGGATGGAAAAAAGCCACAGGAATGACAAGTATGTTCCTACAACCTGCCAGTTTGTTCTTCTGGCCGTAGCTGGCTGGATCACCCCCACGCATCACCCGTGCTGCCTGAAAGGAGCAGCTCTGGGTCACCCTCTGCATGGCAGTGGCACCCCGAGGGCCCGTGGTGGCCCAGGCTGCAGGGACCGTGCCAGCCAAACGGGTAAGAGAGTGCAGAAGCAAAAAGGGGCACAGTGAAAGTGAAGGGTCCCCACTCGGAGAAGCCAAGGAAACCAAAAAGGTGAAAATCAGTTCACTCAGTCTTAAAACTTTCTATTTTTCCCACAGCGATGTTCTAATTCAGAGCAGAAGGCTGTTTGACACTCTTTAGCTTAATCCACTTCTCAGAAACACCAATTTAAACTCTTTTTTTAAATTCATTTTTAAAAAAACGAACTCATTGTAGCGTCTATGAAAAAAAAAATCTTGTGCCTTAGCCTTCTATAGTGAAAAAATTAAGCAAAGGAAACAAGCAAGCAATATAAAAATAATCCCCCAAGTAAGCAAAACAATCTGTCAGTAAGTCATCACAGAAATTCAAAAACCCAGAGGAAATCACAACCCCGATCCATGTCCATCCCACTGGCAGATATCTACAAAAATTCATTTTGATGATGACCCTACAAACCATGGCGGGGCAGAGAAAAGGGTCCAAAAACCTGTGTCCAGCCTTTTTTCCCCTTGAATACCACTGTTTCAGGCTACCAACAGCCTGCATCTCGTCAGCCAGAACTGCTCCACTTCCATCCAGGATGGACACACACCACGCCGAGCCCCCGATTCGCTGTTATTCAGGACTCTGACCAGTTTCCAAGAACTAACACCTCATTTTAATGTAACCGCTCTCAATGCCAGCTTTTTCCACCCCACCCCCTCCCTTCTTTATAGTATGTAATTTTTCTACGTTATCAATCTCCTCGCCATTCACCCATTTGGGCACCCTTCCATCGAGCCTGGCATTTCATCTGTGTCTGAAAACTTCCAGCGGTGCCAAGTGTTTGCATACCTTGCAAGTGTTATGTCAAACTCTGCCCCTTGGAGCTGCCAAAAACCACCACTCAAAGTTAGCAAAGCAAATACCTCCTTAGACAAGCTTAATAAACACGCCAGGAGAAACTCTAGACTTCATCAAGACGTTGCTCGCCTGACGAGGCCAAGCTTGAGGTCTTCAGCACCCTTTCATGTCCCATTTAGGCCAACATCCATTATCCTTGTCACACGTTCTCCACCCGCGCCCGGCGTAAGTGCATCGTATCTGAGCACACAGATTATTTGAAACAACCAATCCCCAACTCCACACCTCTTTTCACGCTGCAATTACCGGCCATCGCACCAACCTTGTCTCTAATCAGTCTAAACGAAGCCATTTATTTTATAGCATGAATCAACACGTAGAGCAGATATGTCTGGTGTTTCACACCGCTCCGAGAAGCTAACTCTGGTGCCCATCAGCACTTATGGCCTCGTCCCAAATAAATCCTCGTTTCTTTGTACCCTTGACTGATGACTAGTGATTCGCTAACGAGAGTGGGAGTAGACATGAAAGAGTACATTGAGCAGGGAAAGGTGGAGAAGAGGGGGGACGGAAGCGGCGAAAAATGAAAGAGGAAGGACAAGGCGGGGGCAGGTAGGGCATAAAAAAGCATGGGGGAAAAGTGCAAGGGAAGCGAAAGAGGAGGAGGAAACAAGATCTGTGGGAAGTGGGAGATTGAGAACCTGAGGCCAAAGCAGTCAAGCCTTCCCCAGGGCCCAGAGATAACCCCTGAGAAGATCAGAACAGCCTCAGCTCTGTAGGCTTCAAATTCAATAGCATATCACAAATCCATCACTTCTAAACCACCACTCACACGCAGACACGAGCATCACAGAAACTCTTTGCCCAGAAAACCCCCATCTGATATTCAATGCTTTGGGAAACAGCCTTGACCTTGGATGCCAGCTCCCATCCACCACCCGGCTGGGAGGCCTTCTACATTCACAAGAAGAAGCCCCAAGTTCCCAAGCACTAGAACATCTCCCAAAAGGCTCTCCAAAGCAAAGCACTTTAATGAGGTCTAATTTTCAAAGGGTGGCAGGGGACAAGGTTTGAGAAGATACAGCCCCTTTGAAGCTCGAGGCTGAGCACCCAAGAAGAAACACACCCAAGAAGTTGCACTGTAACTTTGGGAAACGGTAGCCACCAGGTCAAATTCTGCTCTTTTTCATCACTGTTGTCCATCCAAACTAGAACAACCAACTCCAGTTTGCACCAAGACAATCAAGAAATACATTTAACTTCACAATACTAAATTTGGGATCACCGTGACATTTTATGTTCACTGATAAAGCAAGTTAACAAACAACAAAAAACCCAAAACACCTCCAACAGTACAAGATGGATGAATGAACACAAGGAATTTATACCAGATCGCACTTGCATTTCCATCTTCTTCACTCAAGGACTTCAAAAAACACCGGTGACTTACCTTCATCCTGGAAGTCTGAAGGCAGTGAAGCATCAGATGTCATGGAAGGGGCCAAACTCCAGCTTTGATTTTCATCAGAACTGTCATGTCCACAGACAGCAGCGTGCTGATCCTCTCTTAGAAAGAGAAGGAGACTCTGATTTTAGTGAAAAGGACTC